GGGGCAGCGGTCACTCACCTCCCGCGGTCGCGATAGGCCGAGCGGAGAAAGAGGAGGATGAAGAGGAGCAGCACAGGGTGATGAAGAGGATGAGGGGAAGCAGCAGCAGGCATAGGCTGAAGAGCAGGAGAATAGGCTGGGAAGGAGCGTGGAGCCAGCGGTCGCTTGGTTCCCGCGGTCGCGACATACCAGGCGGTGCGAGCTGCGAGGGCCGTCAATACCGCTCGCGGTTTTAATTTTTATTGTTTTTTTTTGGTTGAGACCAAGATAATCAATGCAAGGTTGTAGGGTTCCATCTTTTTTTGTGATAGAGAGGGAATCTGCCCCTAGAGGATCAACATATTCTCATTATCAGTTCGTATGAAATCCTACGAAAAGTTATGAACAGTATTTCGAACGTTTTGGACGTTTTTCCTCGAAAAAACAGATCAGTGCGCATACGCAGCCAGACAGACGAAAAAAGCAGATCCGCGGACGGACGTAAAACTGGGAAAAACAGTGCAATAAATACTTCTTGATGTCTCTCACTAGGTTGCTTGCTGTTTTGTATCTTAGGATTAGGTGTAGGGTCAGGGTTAGGGTTAATTGTATGTTAAATTCTATGCTATTGAATGGTGCGTAAGATGCGCATGCGCAAGGATATCTTGTCTCTAGGCAAGACGTAAAAATACGACGAACTACGACGAAAAACACGTACGAAATTACGGTGCATAACTTTTCGTACGATTTCGTACGAACTGATAATGAGAATACACTGAGAGGATAGGAAGACAGACAGACACTCCTTGCAGCTAGGGATTCATTTTCTCATAGATTCTTGTTCATGGATTGAGATGTTGTATTAAACGTGGTGAAATAGAGGTGCATGTGAAATAATGTTAATTGTGCAATTGTAAGAGTGATGGGGTGGAAGTAATCAGGCCATGCTTTTGTTAAATACCTGTCCAAGGTCTTCAAGGATGTTGGCATCTAGCTCTCAGAACCTGAGAATAAATAAAGGTGTAAATGTCGTATTGGTTAGTCTGAGGAATGACAGAATGAAGACAAGTTGAGAGGCAGTCAGAGGACCTGGCCTCATTAAAAGTATTTCTATAGTTCATCTGAGGGTTGTCAATCTTTAAAATCTAAAAGGAAGAGAAATTAAACAATGCAATCTTATTATGGTGGTTACCTAAGAGGATTAGTCATAATGGCCAGGACATGTTGGGTGATTTGGAGAAGTGCTCTGCTGTCCAATGCGGTGGCCTCAATGTGTCTCTCTAGAGATAAAATCTCTAGATGACACTGTTATAAAAAAGTCCAGAGAGATCGCTTAGAAACCTTATTTAGGCAGAGTTGCTGAAATAAGAATGGGGTGAAGGTTTTCAACAATGGATGGGTCTTTATACACTAAAGGACCTTCCCAGGGACCTTCTTCTTACTTCTGTGGCCACAGGAGGCAATACAGTGCTCGTGCTCCGGATTGCCACAATAAAAAGACCGTTTGGCCTTCATCCTCCTCTGTCTGTCATGTTGGGGTCTAATCTTCTAACCCACATGCAGAAACACTCAAGAGACAGGAAAAAAGTTAAAGGGTTTATTGACAATGTTTTCAGAGAAATGTGAACGGCGTCTTGGTTTGTCAGGCTGGTCACGGGAGGGAAGCAACTAGAGGAGGACAGATCGGTTAGAGTGGATCCAGGAAACTTGCTGTTCAACAGCAGTTTGGGTTAATACCTGCTCAGGGGGTATTCTGACCGGCAGGGGGGGGGGGGACCTTGAGGGTCCAGAGGCTGATCGGCAGGCTGAGGGCAGAGGCGGGGAGACGGAGGCTGAGGTGGATGGCAGACAGGCAGGTTCCAGGCAGCGAGAGTTTTCTCCAGGAGTTGACTGATCACCAGATATGTCAGGATCTGAGAGGCAGAAGAACACAGAGTCAGAGAGGTTCTCAAAAAATCAGGAAAACAGATCAGATTTAGCTGGCTCAGGTTTGCTGGTACCATTACTGGCAAACACTCTGGCAGGGAAGTGTCAGCCTCCTCCTCCTTAAGAAAGCCTCCAGATGAGCAGATGGGAAACAGGTGTGCAGAAGTCAGCTCACGCCCTCAGGAGGAAGATCTCAGGCTCCCTCTGGTGGAGAAAGGTGACAAGCCTCCAGATCCCAACAGTGTCGCTCCTTGGGTATGAATTATAGTGGACCAATCTGCATAGGTTTAGCTTGTAAGAGCGGATGAGGAGGAATAGAGGATTGATGGATAGGGAAGCTGTAATCTATGGGACAACCTCTCCCTTATTCTGTCTCTCGGACATACATCCATTCGAAAGGCTAAGGCAATAAAATCACCCAAAGAATGTGGCTTTTTCACTAGAGCTAAATCATCTTTTGCAGAACTGCTAAAGGCAGGAAAGAAAACACTCTTTAAAGCTCTGGAGTCCCAACCAAGGCAAGTAGCTATTGTGTAGAAAGTAACAGAGAAGTCAGCTACTGTTCTCTGACCCTTTCTTTGGGTCCTAAATACTCAGGACCAGAAAACTGAGTCTGAGTCATGAGCCTCAGCCCATCTTAAAGCTCTGCCATTAAGAAGCCTGATAATATAAGCTATCTTCTTAGCATTTGATGAAAAAGACTGTAGGCATACAAGAAACTAGATACAATACAAGAAACTAGAAAGCACTGAAGGAGAAAGTCTGGACCAGTGCCTTCACCTATGGAGAATTTATCTGGTGAGGGAGAAAAGACTCACCAGAGAATGAAACCTGAGGATGCTGAAGTGGTGGAGACTGTGGTGTTCTAGTGTTCTGTCATATTTGTGTTTATGCTTCTGACACACATGCAGAGAAACACTCAGACAGACACCAAAAATCTGATCGAATTTATTATTTTTCCATAAACAGTGGAGAATAATTCAAGACCTGAACTGCAACGGCTTTAATGAGAAAAACTGAGGTTGAGGTAACTGAGGTAGAACAGTCAGTTGTCTTACTTTAAAGTGTAGTTGGTTCTCCACCAGGAAGAGGTGAATGGAGTCTGGGGTTTGTAATTGTAGATCTGTGGGAACAAGAAGGTTCTTCTGCTAGGACTGTTCAAACTATGAGAAAAGACGGCTTGATAATGCGTGGGTGTGCGGATAGTGCAAGAGTAGTGCTTACCAGTTGTGAGACGGTGAAACCTAGAGGGAACACTCATGAGTATGAGGACTGACTTGCTAGATCACCACTATTTCCAAAGTGGAGGCTCTCAGAGATAAAGTAGACACAACAGTGTTACTTAAAGCTCACAAAGAAGAACTTAGCGCTCTGGGGGACTGGACGTTAGCATATGATGTCAACGCTCCAGTCAAGAGTGACTAATGGCTTGTATCTCTTAAACAGCCCAGGAGATGAGTCTCATGAGCTACACCTGTGAAGGTGCAAACCATGAGACAAACCTATTCTATGCCTTTTTTTTTTGTCATTGTTAGATGTTACAGTTTCCGTGTGTAACACGGTTATAAAAGCAGTATCCATCCATCCATTCCATCATGCTTAATTCCAAGTGGGGTCACGAGGGGTGCTAGTGCCTTTCTCCATGTGTCAACTGGTGATAGGCTGGGTACACCTTGGAGAGGTCCCGTGTCCATCGCAGGGCACCACAGAGACAAACAACCATTCACGCTCACACCAAGGGAGAATTTAGAGAAACCAATTAACCTAACAGTCATGTTTTTGGGCTGTGGGAGGAAGCCGGAGTACCTGGAGAGAACCCATGCATGCTCAGGGAGAACATGCAAACTCTAAGCAGAAAGACCCGGGCCAGGAATCAAACCCAGAACCTTCTTGCTGCAAGGCAGCAGTGCCACCCACTGCTCCACAGAGCAGCCCATAAAAGCAGTATTCAAGTGTAAAACCTCTGTGTCTATGGGTTAAATGAGATAACAAAAAGCTCTGTGATAGGCAGAAGGACCCTACCAAGGAAATCAACAACTCTTCAAAAGCACTCTTAGGTTGTTTTGTTTTTTCTAATTTGAAAAATATCTTTAGGTTAAGCTAAAAAAAAGTTATTTTTTTTTTCTTGTTTAAATGTATTGTGGAGGATTTTTTAAAAGACCTGCCTTCTCCACTTAAAAAAAAAATTAGCATGCAAGAGCGTACACGAACCCATTTCTCCCGATGCACCCCCTGTTTAAAGCTTACCATGTCAACATACAACGGAAACTATATACTGGACTTTAGAGCAAACTCAGTTATCTGACCGTTTAGAAAGATGATCACTGCTTTTTGCTCCACTGTTCACGTAAGTCCTCCTTCACTGCGTGGTGCCTGTGCAATCTGCCACTTCCGAGGCCTTACGAAACTTTTCTCTTACGAAACCTCTGCCATTTTCAAAGAACCGCGGTGAGAAATGTGAGCTTCAATGACTGTCTGAAACCGTAGCTCACCACAAATATGCACCTGAAAGTGCGCATGTGCAAAAAAGACAACTAATGTGATGAGCACATAGGATGACCTTATGTAAACATTTCACCATGATGAATGATAATTAGGAGGATCACTTATTTAGATGATCCACCTGGAAATAAAAGATCGTCTTCTATAACTTTAAGTAATGACTAAATCAGAAATAATTAAAGATGGCTAGTGGTTCCACTGGAAAAATATTATTTTATCTCTTACTTTTACAAATGGTGCCAAACGGTTACATGTTGACCTGGTAAATGTGGAGCTGTTCTTGATGTATGTCAGTTGTATCTTTTTAGGCAGAAATTGCTCCTGAATCCCTCTGGGGTTGACTGAAAATATACACCAGCCCCTTACCCCCAAGTTTCCATTATTAGATACCATGAAAAGGTATCTGAGAGATTTTTCAAAATAAAAGTACTTATTTAACCATCTTACTGAAGAATGTTTGTAGATCTGGTCCCAAAATCAATATGTTAAAAACGTATTTCTGTGCATACACGTGAAGAAAAAAAAAAAGTGAAGGATAAAGGATAAAATATATATGATAGAACTTAAAAATGTATAATAATGGTCCTAAATAAATGTGTCTTTCAGTATTGCTGACCTGGGTGAACTGCTGTAGTGTCCGTATGGCTACCAGGATCCAAGATATTTTCACAGTGGGAAAACTTATGGCCTTGGGCCTTATCATTGTTGTGGGTCTGGTCCAGATCAGTAAAGGTAAATCTTTCACTTTTGGTACCTCTTTTTTCTGCATAGACAGGATTTAAAGCTCCAAATAAACTAGTGTTGTTTTTTGATAGGAAACTATGAGGCACTGACTCCTCAGGTTGCCTTTTCAATAAACAGGATACCATCCATTGGACAGATCGCTCTGGCCTTCCTGCAGGCATCCTTCGCCTTTAGTGGCTGGAATTTCCTCAACTATGTAACAGAAGAAGTGGTTGAACCCAGACGGTGAATATTTGTAGCTTCAATTACATTTTATCATCTCACCTTTTTTTTTGTTTTCTTTAGCACTACTTGTTTGGCACACTTGACTCCATAAACAATTTATGTAAATGTGACAAAAACACAGAAAGAAAATGTGTAATGTTGGTCAGTCTAATCTTATGGTAAATGCACATTACCAGTAACAATAACCTAATTCATAAAGCAGTTCAAATAATACAATGAAAGATAATAAAAAGGGCAAAACTCTTAAAGACGTGAAGATAGTTGCATGATGCTATTTATCAGGTAATCATCATCTTTATATACCTTCTATGTGCTTGTTTTTTGCATGCTTAAGTTTATTTATTTATTTTTTCTATTAACTGTATCATCTTTGCATGGTGTGGACCCGGTAAGGAATCTACCTCGTGCCATCTACATCTCCATTCCATTGGTGACTTTTGTGTACACACTCACCAACATCGCCTACTTTTCCTCCATGTCACCTGAGGAGCTGCTTTCCTCCAATGCTGTTGCTGTTGTGAGTAATGTCACCCATCAGTGATTTTAAAATAAAGGTTTTAAGGCATTCCTTTAGTTTGCCAGAAACGATCAAATTAATGTGTCACTCATCCAGTTTTAAAAACTGAACCTCGGCCCCAGACATATGCCAGCAAATGCCAACAAAGTAGTTGAAGCCAAGAAACCCTGAGGCGTGGGGCTAAGTAGTGGTGGCCAGGACTTGGCAGTTAGCTCAGCTTTTAGCAATATTGAAGCATGCATGCTGGTGGTAATGCCAAGGACACCCCTTAATATTTATATATATTTTTAAGGCTTATTGGAGCCCAGTAGGCCAGATCGCTTGATTCAAGGTACTGTCCCAGCAATGACCAAAGCTAGTAGTGCTAAGGACAGGGGGAAACCCTATGTGTCACATTAGATGGAGGTTGGTTGAGGACCCAATTGCAGAGATGTTAGGCAAAATTATTTCAATTTAAGGACTTAAATCACTTACTGATTATCTAAATTGCTCATGTCCCAGAGTGGTCATAATCTTGTTGGATATGTTCAATACATTTTTTGGGAGTGATTAAATTTCAAAAAGTCAATTTGAACTGATAAAATTCTCTACAATATTAGCACACCATTTTTTTTTTTTTTTTTCAAATTGAAGAGCCCCCACACCCACAAAACATTCACTCTGGGTGCATGATGTTTGGTAATTTCTCCAGTTAAAGTAAAAAGACGTACACTCCAAAAACCAAATTAACAGTTTCAAAAGAAATGACAACCGTTCTTGGTATACTATAACAAAATATGTGACTCAAATTCCTTGGAGTAGAATTATAATATATAACAATGTCTTGGGTTACTTGTGACTATCTTTTCACTGCTTTTTTAATAGCAGACTGACTCATAAATTTATCAGAGAAAAAAAATGATGATCCGATTTGCCAAGAGAATGGTATGCATCCATTGCATCTGTACAGAACAGATACAAAGTTTTGCCTTCTTTTGCAGAGCAACTAACAAACTGTTAAAACAGGTGGAAGTATAATAGTGAGTATAGTGAGCTTGATGGTCAAATCAATGGATATTACAAAAGATGAATTAAAGTGTTGTTTCGATTGTATTTGTAGCTTAGCAACAACTGAACTTATAATTTTAGAAGCTGAGTATGCATGCTATTGCTAAAATAACACAATTGTGCTGTCCTGATAAACAACATGGCCAGAAACAGGCAAGCAGTTCAATGTGAGCTGACCAGAAAATATTTGACAGTAGTATGTACTGAATTACACAAGCTTTAGTAATCCTTAATCTTATTAAATATCCACACTCAGAATAACATGCAGCAACATTTAAGTTGGGGGTCTTGTACAAATATAGGTACCAGTTAGAATTTGGATCCCCTATCAAAAGGAGGGTACATTCAAGAAGCCTCAATTCGAACCAACTAGATATGGAAGTAGTAATATTTTACTATTGGGAAAGATAAGTATTGTTAGTTTATAAGAATTGTTATTTTTTTTGCAACACAAAATGGCACATATTTTGTTCTTATGTGGTGTCAGAAGTGACTGTTTAGACATTTAACAAGTGTTTTCCTAATAAGAAGATAATCACATCAGTTTAAACTTATTCAGTTATTAATGCTTAATAAACCAAATTATCAAATAGATCTGTAAACATTCCTAAATCTCTGCATATCAGGATACATCTGTCCTTTAGAAAATACTTAAAAATTTTTTATCTTTAAATGTGTTTGATAAACATTGTTTAAGAAACTTGGCGATTTTCTAAACAATATACAAAAAATTTTGTAATCCTGTGAGGCTCATAGCAACTCTCCTGCTCGCTCTCCAGGTTTCCCTAATTGCTGTTTTTCTACTCAGACATTTGGTGAAAAGCTGCTTGGAGTCTTCGCTATTATTATGCCGATTTCAGTGGCTCTGTCCACCTTTGGGGGAATCAATGGTTACCTGTTTACTTCTTCAAGGTCCGTTTCACTGCATTCTCAACCTAATCTGACTTCTGATGCCTGACTTCTCCTTAACCACAGCGGCTGATGGTCTGTGTGATTTTGTAGGTTGTGTTTCTCAGGAGCCAGAGAGGGCCATCTACCCAGCCTGCTTGCTATGATACACTACAAGAAATGTACGCCCATCCCTGCCCTCCTCGTTTGCGTATGTATAGTAACACAGTCACATTATAAGTTTCAGTGAATGTTTCTCAGTTTGCATGTCCAGTAATAACTTTTTGTACATAAACTGCGCTCATCTGCATCCATATACATTCACCAGCCACTTTCCTGGGTACACCTCATAAGTATAACTTATGCTGCAGATTTGTTCGCTGCCTGGAATGGCCTTGCAGTGCTTTGGGCTTACCCCAGAGGAGGGAATGGCTGGAGGTGGTGTGTGGGGAGAGGGAAGTCTGGAAGTCTAGACTGCTGTCCCTGCGACCTGGTCCCAACAGCAGTGTCATTGAGCTGAAGACGACAAGTATATCTAAAGAAATACTTTCTCACTTGCCCCTTGTATTCCGGGGTGGGATGGGTGGTTCCTATGGTCCCCTACCAGAGGCCTGGGAGCTTCTTCACAGTATCTTAGCTGTCCCTAGAACATTTCTGGACCGAGATCTTGGATGTTACTCCAGGTGTTTCTTGAAGCCACTTCTCCAGTGCAGAGGTTACTGCCTAGGTCTGATGACCAGTGCTCCGATGACCACTGGCACTACAGATGCCTTCCCCTTCCAGGCCCTTTCTAGTACTTCCCTGAGTCCTTGGTATTTTACTAATTTCTCATGTTCTTTCTCCCTGATGTTTCCATCATTTGGGATGTCTATATCCATCACTGCGGCTGTCCAGTGATCAAAATGTCTGGTTGGTTGGCCATAACCATTTTGTTTGTTTGTATCTGGAATTCCCACAGGATCTTAGCTCTGTCATTCTCCACCACCCTTGGAGGTGGCTCCCGTTTTGACCCAGTGGTCAAAACGTTCTTCACAGATTCTGAACAATGTGTGTGTGTCTGTGGGTGAAAAGTGAGGTGAAAACGGAGGATGGCTGGATGGTTGGCGAAGACTGACTACAGTAGAGCTGTCCAAAGGTTAAATTTTATGTGGACCAATGTAATGAGGGACGTGATTCTTGAAAATCTATTTCATAGGAATGTCTCCGGAGGATTCCTGCACCGCAGTATTCTCCAGGTTAAAAGGAGAATACTGTGGTGCTGGAATCCATTTTCTGTTTGCATTCTAGCAATCCTGGTCTGCTGTGTATTGGAAAGCACAGAAGTTGGACAGAACTGATGGATATTTCTTTCTCATGTATTGAAAAAAGTGGTGGTTGATAACCCATGGAGCTTTTGAATGGAGACAGACCTGTAGCTGCAGACATAGGAGTGTGTATGGGTGCACTCCACCCAATGTAGAAACTCACACCACATTCAGATGGGTTAGTGGATTTTTAACATCTGAGAGTGGATTCCAGGTCTTGATTCAGTCTCTTGGTGTGGCTGATACATTTGAGGTGATGCATCCATGTGGTGAAGTCCATGATCAGGGAGCATATCTTGGGTTATGCAGAGTATCCAGAAAGCCTGATTTACTAGGAGCTGGGCTGTCTGGAAAGCAGAAGGTAACTTTCGAAGAGGTGTTAGATGTTATTAGATGGCAGTACCTATTGACAATGGTAAAAATGGTGGTCATGCCTGGAGAGACCAGGAGTCCAGTGGATGATAATGTCTGGCCAATTTGGGTATGAAAAGAGGTTGTTGTAATCCAACAGGTAGTCTGTTGGATCTGGAGATTAGGGAAATAATTTGTAAAGAGTTAGTGTGAGCTGAGAACTTGGCAATTGGAATGAAAGCAATGGATGAGGTGGGAGCAAACTGAGACGGGAATGTATGTTTTTTTAGGTAGATTGTCAGGTTTGTTTTGTAGAAATTGATGAAATACACCTTCGATCTTCCACGTGATGAATGCACCTATACAACTAAGAGGTCAAATTGGAGCTGGTTTCCATTTTTTTAAATGGAGGTTTTCCATCTACATACTATTTTGTGCTTAATTCTTTTTTATTCATTCATTCATTGGTTACATTTCATATAAAACCACATTTTCTGCATTGTCATTAAACTGATAAACTGAACTTTCACCATATTGTTAATTTCTTTTAGTCAGAATAAATAAACTACTCCTGTTGTTTTTTCACAGTGTGCGGCCACAATTGTTATACTGTGCATCGGAGAAACACACAACCTGATCAACTACGTCTCCTTTATCAACTATTTGTCATATGGTGTCACTATAGCAGGTCTGCTGTTCTATCGGTGGAAGAAACCTAACTTATATCGTCCTATTAAGGTATAATAAAAACAACTCAATAAGGAAGTAGTCACAAACTTGTAATGACTGAACAGAAATGGGTTGGATGGATTTTTGAATGTAGAGTTAAAGGTATTGTGGAGGATTTTCGCAAATTTTTTTTTTTCAAATATAAAAAAAGAAATGTGCATGCGAGAGCATGCACGAGCCCATTTCTTCTCATGCATAATATGTTTAAAAGTTGCTGTTCTCATAGCTCTCTTTGTTATTAGTCGCCGCTGTCGGGTAGTGACAGCCTATAGCAGGCATCCCCAAAGTCGGCCCTCGAGGCCGCTGTCCTTCAGGTTTTAGAGGTTTCTCTGCTTTAGCACAGCTGATTATGAAGATTGCAGTTCAGCAAAAGCCTGTTAATCAACTATCAATATAAATCATCTGTGCTGGAGCAAGGAAACCTCTAAAACTTGCAGGACAGCGGCACTCGAGGACCGACTTTGGGGATGCCTGGCCTATGGCAACAGTAGGCCGCTGTGACAGCAAATCCCATAATGCTTTGCAAGGAGAGCTCTCCACACATAGCATTCCAGGACATATCTGCCTCTTCTTCTGCCTCTTCTTTTCGTACACTTTGTAGACACTTTTCTTTTTCTTTTTTACGGCACTAGTGGCTCGTTTTTTTTAAAGTAGGCTAACAGGAAAGGGGGTATGAGTAAGACATGCTGCAAAGGACCACAGGCTGGATTTGAACCAAACTCAGTTAATTGACCTTAATTACTGCTTTTGCTTCGCTGTTAATGTAACTCCTCCTTCAATGCGCAATGCCTGTGCCTTTGTCATTAGTCACAGCTGTCATGTAGTGACAGCCTTTGGCGACAGGGGCTGCTGTGACAGCAAATCCCATAATGCTTTGCAAGGAGAGCTCTCTGCGCAAAGCATTCCGAGATATATCTGCCTCTTCTGAGGCCTTGCGAAAATTTTCTCTTACGAAACCTTGGCCATTTTTAAAGAACCGCAGTTAGAAAGGTGAGCTTCAATAACTGTCTGAAACCGTCGCTCACCACACATATGCGGCTAAAGGTGCGCATGTGCAGAAAAAGATAGCTAACGGAACGAGCACATAGGACCTGATTGGACGAGAATGATTGACAATTAGGAGGACCACTTATTTAGATGATCCATCCGGAAATAAAATATCATCTTCTATACCTTTAAGCTCATGAATATTCATGCCTCTTGCAGATTTAAGTTCAACCTGCATGTCTCTTTGAAAAACATGTTTCTCCTCACTTGACATCATCGGGGGGAACAATGTATGTACAAATTACCAGTCAAAACATCTTATAAGATCCAGGCTTCAAAGATTCCTGACTATTTTTTTTCTGTTCTATATGTAGAAGCTAATTTAGAAAAGTGTTATCTAGAGGTTTGCTTTGTAAAAAACACAAACTCACATGAGGATATACAGAATGACAACATGTAGCTCTAATTCTTACTTAATCGTGAGGTCCAACCAATTTCACCATCTTTGCAAGTATCTTTGTCTTCTGCTGATACAAGAAGACCTTAATAAATGTGTGTATGCTCCCCCAGGTAAACCTCCTAGTTCCTGTTTCCTATCTGATGTTCTGGGCATTGCTTCTTGGATTTAGCCTGTACTCAGAGCCAGTCGTCTGTGGTGTTGGTTTGGTAATCATGCTTACTGGTGTGCCCGTCTATTTCCTTGGTGTCCTCTGGAAAGTAAAACCAAAGTGTGTCTACAACTTTACTGGTGGGTTTCTGGAAACTAAAACATTTAACTGTTGCTCTATCCAGTGTAGCTAACATGAAACTCTGTGACCTGTTTCTCTCCAGCTTGGGCTACATCAGTGGGCCAGAGGCTGTGTTTTGTGGTCTTTCCTCAGATTGACCCTATTGAGATCGCCAGTCCTTCAGAATGGACTGACCGCTCATCTGGCAGAAACGGTTTCTTCAGCAGTTCATGAAACTGCCTTTTCTGAACATGCGAAGATTGGTGTTCTGTTTGCTTTTTTAAAACATGTTAGTTTGTATGCTCAGACATGCTTTTCCACCATGGAGTCTGATCTGTGAGCCTGAAAAATTAAGCTTTTTCTCTAACATTCAAGTGAAAATGCTCACTGTCTGTTTGATGTCTTCACTTTTGTTTCCATGTATTGTCTTTGAAGGATCCATGTGCAAAAGTCTCATTCACTTTTTTAATATTTAATTTTTCTGTAACACCACAGAACCCAGATTGACTGACATTTCCTAATAACTGAATTTATTTTTTCTAAATAATTCTAGGATGTCATTGTGCCTTAAAGTCTTTTTTACACCAAGTCAAAACAAGTTAAATGTAAAAAAAAACACTAAAACTACAGCCCGTTTTTTTTTTTTTTTTTTTTTTTACACAAAAAGCATTTCAAAACCTACAAAATGTACTTTGTTTCCTAATCCTTCATTTTATTGCTGCTGATTTCTTTCTTTTTTTTTTTTTTTTACATTTAACACCATGAAAAATTGCTTTCCTTGTACAGATTTCTTTTTTTCAACACTTAAATGTTTCAGATCATCAAATATATTTTAATAACAGACAGAGAAATATTTCCAAATCGACTGGAGGAAAAATTAATTTATTCTAGTATAATTCTAATTTGGTTCTAGCCTTCTTGGTGGCACCAGCAGCTATCCAGCCAGTTTTGTTTGGACCACTTTTAGGTTTTAACTAGGCCACTACAACCCTAACTTTGTTCTTTTTTAAACCTTTCAATTAACTGTTAAAGCAATCATTATTAAAAATAGAGGAGTATTCTTTTTTTGCACAAGTTTGAATATCTTCTTATATTTGATCTGTCTGATATTAAAATTTGTCAAATGATCATAAGGTTTAGATCATGCAGCTACTTTGTGAACATTCTTCTGGTCTTCTAAAGCCCTCATTGACTTCTACCACAAAATAAAGGCTGAGAAAGTCTGCAGGACAGAAATCTTAATCATCCAGCAGTAACAGTGTGTTCCAGGTTTAAACTGAAGTTCTTTAGGATATTGCGGGACATTTTGACCCTGTCCATCTTCTGTCTGGACTAAAGCATTTACAGAAGATTACAGAAACATGTGACATTTTGTAAGAGGACCCCTGTTGTCCATTAGAGAAATAATCAGAATAATTTAACCACCAAGTGATTTTAGGGCACTGAATGAATCTCCCTCTTCTCTAACTAAGTCTGTTGTTAGGGTGGACATAGCTGTTATTAATCTAAGCAGGAAAACAGAACAGGTTTCACTTTTTCAAATATGCCAATAGAATTACTCTCAGGGAGGGCGTGCATTGAGCCATGTACTGGTCAGATGTTCATGTTGGGATATTTGTTAGCTTGTCTTTTGTCTTCAAACTATTTCAGAACCTTCAGAACTTGTCTGATAGAAGTAGATCTAAAAAAACAACATATTTTGGAAAAGTTCAATATTTTTGTCACTCATTTTAAAAAGTGAAATCCATTTTTCTGTAAATTCATTAAAGATAGTGAAATATTCCATGTATGTTCTTTTTGGTTTTTGATTATTATTCCTAACAGATACGTTACACCTTTGCATATCAGCAAATAATGATCATTAAAACAGAAATATAAGGATTTTAAAAAGAATATTTCTCTTTACTCAGTACTTGTCTGGGCTTCCTTTTATATGAACTATACATGAACACAGCATGTCATGGATGAACAGAGGCTTATCTCTGTATTTTTGTATCTAGTGTATCTCATCTTTTCCTGACTGTGCTCCGTAGATTAATCCAAATCTGCTTCAGTAACACCATGGTCACTGAAGCAGTTTTTGGTTCATGAGAGTTTTAGGTGCTGAGTCAAGCTGGAAAATGAAAACAGTATCTCAATGAAGTGCGTCAGAAGAGGATACCACCAAAATATCCTGGGAGATCGACATGTTTCATGGAATTCAGCAAGGTGGACCAAAACCAGGACATGACATGTCAACACATCAACCCAATCATTACTCATGAGGGTTGAGTAATGATTGTGCTGACAATGGATTGTAGGACTTCTTATTCCCTAATCTAGGTAGACTTGTAACCTCTGCTTGTTAAGCTCTGTCTCCAAAGGGGATGTATGGTCCAGATTCAATATTTAAATGCACACTTTGTTCACTGCTTTCATGCCGCTGGTGAAATCTCCTCCCTACAGGTAAGATATTTCTTGTCCAACTCTCAAAACAAGCTCAGTGAGCTGGACCTTCCATACCTGAGCTGTCAGAAACATTTTCACCTGCTCAATATTTTGAAACCATCAGACTCGGCGGAGCTCTGTCCCATCACTGTGATGGAAGCTGGAGGCTTTGTAACCTTCCATCCCATCATGCCGCTTCAGCTAGCTCCAAACACCAACCATTCACTCAGAGAATCATGCAGCAGTTCAGGCAGCATACGGAGGATCAGGTAACAGTTGAACTTTTCTTGTTTTGTCTAGAGACTAAAGATGAATTTGTTTCCTCCACCTTTGTTCAGGGATTTCTGTCCTGCCCTCAGTCGAGAACACAGTGGCAGTGTATCCTGGCTGGACTGTGGGCCCAGGTGATCTTCAGAGGGTAGCTACAGAGGTGAGACATTTTGTAGAGCTTTATTATGACAAATAGAGAACACATCTTAAAAATGGTTGGGTACAATCATAAGAGTAGAACAGTATTTACCAAATATTGGATATGAATATAAATGAGTCTGGTATTTCTCGACCTACTGCATAGCCTCCTGCTCATCCTCCTATGTAACTACTGTACCTACGTACTTGCCAGTCAGTCAGTCAGTCAGTCAGTCAGTCAGTGAGTCAGTCAGTCAGTCAGTCAGTCAAATATAAGCAGAAGTATTTAGTACAGAGACAAGATGGATCAATATTGAACAATCCTCCTTCAGTAACTTTATGTTTTTTTTTTTAACATGGTTCTAAAATATGGTAATACTGGTTTAAGATGGGTGGTTTAATTATTCCATTCAAAAATAACTTTATTTTTTATATTTTTCATCCAGTTGCAGATGAATGTTGCAGGCAAGAAGGATCTTCTGTAGCGGTCTCTATTACACCGGATCTGGAGGAGCCTCTGACTGATGACACTCTGTTGATGTTAAACCGTCTGATGAAGAGGATGCTCGCTGTTCTCCATAATGTTCTTCACTTTATGAGGAATTGTTTGTGAAATCACCTCAGAGGAATTCCTGGAACAGTCATCTATCTTTATTAGCTTGTTAAGCTTTTTTAAGTCATTTTCTCTTATGCTGTTATCCCAGCAGATGATGGCAGAAGAGACCGCACTCTAAAGCATAGACTGATAGAAGATATGTGGATGAATGCTGAAGGACATAAGCTGTTTTTCTTTTCTTACTCAGATGGACCAACAGAAGTCTCTCTAGGACCTTCATGAAGTGGGATGTCAGGACAACAGGTCTATAGTCACTGAGGAGTGTTGGCTGACTTTTCTTACTGAAAGAAGGCAGGAGGTCTTCTACAAACCTGGAACTGTCTCTTGGGTCAGGCTGAGGTTGAAAGGGTGTTGTATAATCATTCAGTGCTGCTCCACATAGGACTTCAGGATTCTGATGATTTATTATGATTCAGTCTCTCTAGTTAACTCTTCACTTGACTACTAATGACAGACAGGTGAACAGTGGAGGGAGAAACGCCATCTTCTGATTTGGCTGAGAACAAAAGTATAGAAGCAGGAGAGTCAATGGCAGAGGAGGGCAGGATGTCCATCTGACTGTGGGAAGGAGAGAATGATGCCGTTCATCTGCTGTGTCCAGACTTCCATCTGTCTGATCATCCTTCTGCTTGAAGTTTGTGATCCTCTTCATCCCTGACCTTAAATCACTGATATTGTTCTACTGTAACTTGTTTTCCAGCCTCTTCCTGTTTGCCTCCTTGCTTTCTCTTGTCTTGACTTGAAGTTGCTTCTGTATACTCCTCCATAATTAACTTTCTCCCCTCCTGAAGACTCTTTTTTTCTTATTTAGCAGTCAGTGGTAATCCATGCTTTATTATTAGGGAACCATAACCCTGTTCTGGTGGGTATGGTGTTATCTATTCTGAAGTTTATGTAGTCAAACACTCAGTCATTGGTCAGATGTCCTCTCCATGTTGCTGACACATTGCATCCTTGTTGTAGCCCCATATCGGTCAAATCAGAGAATAGCCTTCAGAAAAACAACTACAAAAACACTGAATTACACAAATGTAAATGGACACTAGTATGTGTCCCTACAGTCCATACATACAGTCAGTCCATACAGTCCATACAAATACATAATTGTGTCCCAACACAATTATGTATTTTTGTTTATGTCCCTAAACTGGTCTGTGCTTATTTACCATGTCTCCCCAAATATTGTGGGATTTTTTATAGGTTCTGGGTGCTAATGAGAGACTTCACCAGCTCTCATGTTAATGGAACTATGATAGGAGGCATAAAGACTCCGCTTCTTTCTGCTTCTTTTCTGCCAGCATCACTCAGACTGTACCAATTACACACTCCCAATTTGGCTAAAGGGTCTTCACCAATTAGAACATTTCAGATGGAGCTTACGGCTCTTTCCCTCAGCAGCACTATGAAGTTATAAGGAATCCATGATACGATGTATGCAGCTTCTTATGACCACTCATGATAGAGTTCTTACTGTTGACCCTATTGAAGGTGAAGGACCAGTAGCCATGGGATGTAATAAGACCATTTTGGATGGAGGATCAGATATATGATGGATGAGGAAATAAGGAATTAACTGTTGAACTCTGCTCTCAGGAAAACATTCCATAATAAATAAACAGTTATTATCAGTGCATTTAAAGTGATACAGCTGCTGTATTTATCCTTCATAATAATATTCCACATTAGTGAGTTTAAAACACATTCATCCAGACAGGACTGGAAACATAATTCATAATGATAATTTTATACAAGGCATGGGTTTAACAATGGTATATGGTAGGGACAGAAGCTCTTATTGGAATAATGGAAAATAAATGGCAGAGAGGAAGGCAAAGACGGCAAATCAAAGTCATTAGCTTAATTTGTGATTTACTGCTAATATTAGCAAATGAGAGTAAAAATATCTTTTTTAAAAGGGATGGAAGAAAGAAAGAAAGAAACAAACAAACAAACAAAGAAACAAACAAAGAAAGAAAGGTGGGTTGGTAGAAGAAAAGCTTTAATAGTGACAAAAAGGAAAACTGGAAGAAAGAGCAGAAGTGGGAAAGATTAATAACAAGATAACAAGCCATGAAACAATTAAATGTGACCGTAGTATGGGTGCAGGATAAGTGTTAATTAAATCAGAAATATAAACAGGACATAAAATGTGAAGAAACAAAATGAAACAGAGAGTAGTTGAATAATAAAAGCAATATTGCAAAGAAATGTAGAAAGCAAACATGGAAATTATATTAATATTATATTCTATTTTATGAGGAATAAACATGACTCACTATGTATAAATACATACTCCAGAGTACAAAGTCATGTAATTAAAGTACATGGAGATGGGAAAAAAAGATCCTAACAAAATTAACATCTCTATTCTATTTTTTCTATTCTGTTCTATTCTGTTCTATTATATTCTATTTTGTTCTATTCTTTTCTGTTCTATTTTGTTCTATTTTGTTCTATATCGTTCTATCCTGTTCTATTCTATTCTATTTTGTTCTATTCTATTCTATTTCATTCTATTCTATTTTATTTTGTTCTATTCTATTCTTGTTCTATTCTATTCTATTCTATTCTATTCTATTACTTTTAATCACGACGAACCCAACCCTCCATGCCACTTGGTGGTAGTATTGCTCAATTTAACTATTTTGGTAACCACCTATAGAAGAAGAAAGTTGTGACGTAGGAACCTAAACAGGAAGTTGGCTGCACGTTTTCAGCAGCAGCTGCGATCTGAGATGGAGGTAATCGGTCTCCGTCAGTCACGTGACATTTGTTGCTAAGACGCCATTTTTGGCGTAAAGGCGTAGTGTAAACAACCGCAGTATAGCTAAACGAAGGACTAAAGGATTGAGTTTGTCTCTCTGACTATATGGAAAAAAGTAAGCAGAATGTGAAATTACCGTACGGTGTCGTGCCAAGGTAGTTATCCCTGCGAAAATTTGTATCCCCTCGTCGGGCGCGCGCACGGAGTAGGAAGAACAACCCGAGTTAACTCCGCTTCGATTCCAACGTGCAGAACTTGAAATTTGAAAGGTTTTACGTGCATGAAAGTTGAGCTTTACTGTTTTATTCTTTACTTCACATGTTATAGCAGAATATCGCCAGTGATATTGATCTAAAACTAATAATAAAACACAAACGTTGGCTTGAAAGCTGGTCGCTGACAGCAGTGTCTACTCCTCCCTCTGAAAGCAAACAGATCCTTGTTCTTTTCCACACGTTCATTAAAAAAATCTCTCATTGTTTCACAGTGTCCAAATGTTCTCATCCCATTGAAAACTGTTGTAAACCATATACTTGTAATAAAAATGAAATAGAAAATGGAGTGCACGTGTAATCATTAAAAACTACTGTATATGCAGAAGGAAATAATTTTTTCCTCGTTGAAATTTGGTACTTAAATCTATATTTGTGTTTATAGTAACTTGCAATTTATCTATGTTGTACTATCCTTAATAAACAGTTTGTGTTCTAACATCAGCCATTTTATTTCATCCCATTTTGCCAGAACTGGCAATATGGGATGAAATAAAACCTGCTGTAATCTGTTCCCCCTGTCTAAATCAGGCAAAAAAGGCCCCAGCTTTTTCATTTTTGGCTTATAAGTATCTTTTATGATGACAATTTATTCCTGAAACTTTGGATGTGATGGACCTTTATTTCTTAAAGTTACAAGGAGGGAACAAATTATAGCAGGCCACCTGCTATAATCTGTTCCCCCTGTCTAAATCAGACAAAAAAGGCCCCAGCTTTTTCATTTTTGGCATCATAAAAGATGCTTATAAGCCAAAAATGACAAATCTGGGACCTTTTTTGCCTGATTTAGACAGGGGGAACAGATTATAGCAGGTGGCCTGCTATAATTTGTTCCCCCCTATTAACTTTAAGAAATAAAGGTCAATCTACTCCAAAGTTTCAGGGGTTAGTTGTCATCATAAAAGATGTTTATAAGCCAAAAATGAAAAAGCTGGGGCCTTTTTTGCCTGATTTAGACAGGGGGAACAGATTACAGCAGGTTTTATTTTATCCCATATTGCCAGTTCTGGCATATGGTCTTTAATGATTACACGTGCACTCCATTTTCTATTTCATTTTTATTGCAAGTATATGGTTTACAACAGTTTTCAATGGGATGAGAACATTTGGACACTGAGAAACAATGAGAGATTTTTTTAATGAACGTGTGGAAAAGAACAAGGATCTGTTTGCTTTCAGAGGGAGGAGTAGACACTGCTGTCAGCGACCAGCTTTCAAGCCAACGTTTGTGTTTTATTATTAGTTTTAGATCAATATCACTGGCGATATTCTGCTATAACATGTGAAGTAAAGAATAAAACAGTAAAGCTCAACTTTCATGCACGTAAAACCTTTCAAATGTCAAGTTCTGCACGTTGGAATTGAAGTGGAGTTAACTCGGGTTGTTCTTCCTACTCCGTGCGCGATCCCGACGAGGGGATACAAATTTTCGCAGGGATAACTACCTTGGCAAGACACCGGGACTGGCAGCCTCTCACACAACACGATCGTGTCATTTCTGGTAAATAATTGTGCCGAAAGAACAGCCGCGTGTGGCTTATCTCGACTTTACGCCTAATATGGTGGTTTTCCCACGATGCACCGCGCCCGAGGTAAACAATTGACGTCACCTGGCGGAGACCGATTAGTTGTTCTGGATGTTGGTATGTAGACGTTTCCGGTCCAGACCGGTTTCGTCACAGCCTGTTTGTTCCGTCCCGTTTTCTATTCTGTTCTATTCTGTTCTATTATATTCTATTTTGTTCTATTCTTTTCTGTTCTATTTTGTTCTATATCGTTCTATCCTGTTCTATTCTATTTTGTTCTATTCTATTCTATTCTATTTCATTCTATTCTATTTTATTTTGTTCTATTCTATTCTATTCTTGTTCTATTCTATTCTATTCTATTCTATTACTTTTAATCGCGACGAACCCAACCCTCCATGCCACTTGGTGGTAGTATTGCTCAATTTAACTATTTTGGTAACCACCTATAGAAGAAGAAAGTTGTGACGTAGGAACCTAAACAGGAAGTTGGCTGCACGTTTTCAGCAGCAGCTGCGATCTGAGATGGAGGTAATTAGTTGTTCTGGATGTTGGTATGTAGACGTTTCCGGTCCAGACCGGTTTCGTCACAGCCTGTTTGTTCCGTCCTGGTGTCTGAATGACCATCTTCCTGCTGTCAGCGCGGCCTGGTTTCTTGTGTAACGGTGCTCTGTTTCTCAGCAGCTTCCCTGAGCAGCCATGGCAGCAGGCAGACTCAGCTTCAGGAACGTGACAGCCCTGGCCCCCATGGTCCGGGTCGGGACCCTGCCCATGAGGCTGCTGGCCCTGGACTACGGAGCTGATGTGGTTTACTGTGAGGTGGGAGCCCTGCAGTCCAGGATCCAGAAGATCAAAGGAGACACTGCGGTTCTAACCTAAATGATGTGATTTTTCTCCCAGGAGCTGATTGACATCAAGATGGCTCAGTGTGAGAGGATGGAGAACGGTGAGAGCTAATCCACAACCAAAAACACACAATAGAGAACTGCTTCTACACTGACATGATGTCTGGGAAGGAAGGAAGACAGAAAAGGAAGAGGGTTTTTGGCAAAACTATACAGTTTAGCAGCTGAAAGTGAAGTCAACAGCTAATAGAAAGATTAAAAATAAGGAAACAAAGATCTCAGGAGGTCTGACCTGCAGAAATTCATATTCTACCGGGTTGTCTGCCACTTATCCTGGACCGATCCCATGGGAGCGACAGACTTTCCTGCAGAGGGTTAGGTTTATCACAAAGCTTTCTCAGCTTTAGGCGAGGGTGTAACTTTGCAGTGAAAGTTGGTGGGGACACTCTTAGGGTGGTGGCTGATGAACCTACAGTTATTCTACACAAACGCTTTCAATAGGGTTTGTATTTTTACAAAAATGAGCTCAAACATATATTTATTGAATGCTTTCCTATTGTTGAGAACACAAAATAATCAAAATACACTGATTAGGGCTGGGTAAAAAAATCAATTTAATCGATTTTGAATCGATTCCTTTACTTTTTTGCAAAATCGATGTCTAGGGAATGAGATCGATTAGTTTTATAGTGACGCGCGTGACGTTCACATTCAAATGAGCATCCGTGTGCAAATGCCAACCCAAGTAAAACACAGTTCAGCAAGCTGTCCCAACTGAAGTCTGATGTCTGGAACCATTCTGGATTTAAAACGGCTAAAAATAATGTGCTGGATATGTGACATTAAGGTGACTTCCCACTAATTTGATAATGAATGGTGCCTCGCATCTCATGCTACAGACCACCACGATGACTTCAAGGCAGACAGCTGCAAATATAGCCAAAAGGTTGAATGACGACATTAACAAATGGGGGCTGACCCGCAAACACCCTGTAGTTGTTACAGGCAACGCTGCAAATATGGTTTGTGCAGTGGAGATAATGGTGCTCAGACATGTCTGCTGTGTCCCAGCTGTTTGCACGAGTGAGGCTTCACTTTTTCACTTTTCACAAACAAGTTTGCATTTTTAAGACAGTTTTGTTTACATCTCAAGTTTAAAGTGTCTGATTTACAAGTTTTCACTTTGTGTGACAGGAAAAGATAAAATACGTGAGTATTTTAAAGCACAGTTGAACCACTTTCATAATTGCAAAAACAGATCAAATCGAAATTAATCGGTTTAGAACGGTATAAATCAAAATCAAATTGATTCAGGACTTTGGCAATAATACCCAGCCCTAACTGTAATACTTATATTTATAGACATTAATGTATATAAAACAAAGGATGAATAGCAGCCGATTTCGATGCGTACAGCAATAAATGCCTCCCTAGCATGTACACTATTTCAGTTTCATTTATCCATCCATCCAGAAAAATGTGGATTGATTGATGGATATTTTTCCTTTCATCCACACTAGTGATTATCCTCCTTCAAAAGCAGCAAAATCAAATTTAGACTTTTGTTCCACATATTGCCAAAGTATGTATTGAAATTAGTGGTGGGGACATGTCCACACCAGTCCTTCAGAAAGTTATGCCTGCGGCTCTTATGCTGCGTTCACACCGGGGGCAGCTGGCGCGACAGAAGCAGCGAGTTTACATGCAAAGTCAATGGTTGACGCGCGTCAGAATTCACTGGTACAAGCAGCAAAAATGAAGCAGCAGACGCGATTTTGCTGCTTTTGCTGCCCCCGGTGTGAACGTAGCATTAGTATAAACATCAGGAGCTGCTGTGCTCAATGAAGCTGCAACGAGCTGCAACCATAGAACTGGTCACTAGAAAACTGACTGTTTTTCTGTGTGTGATAGCAATAAAAATAGAAATCACTGTATGGGGATGCTAGATCAGCATCATTCAGCAGATATCTGATCGGAGAATCAAATCAGTGCATCTGATAGATGGCATTACTGAACAGGTTTGTTAAACAAGTTTCCAACTCTTGGCGGTTTTGTAAGAATAACATTTTTGGCTAGTTTACGTGATGTTTGGGAGATGGGCTGCCCAGGTTCTCTAACGGTTCTCTGGAACCAGGGAGGACATTCTCACATGTTACCCTTTGCAGCTACAAGTTAATGATCCAGATCTGGTGCTCCTGTGAGCTGTGTTCTGCTGGATACTTAACTTGGCTCTTCATTCCTAGTAAATAATCAAATATTGTTTCTCCCTGACCAGGGATTAACTCTTATTGGTGTGTGTTCTCCAGGTGTGCTGGGAACTGTGGACTTTGTGGCTCCAGATGGACGGGTTATGTTCCGGACCTGTGAGAAGGAGAAGGCCAGAGTGGTCTTCCAGATGGTGAGACCGAACTTCTCGCTGTTGTTGTTCTGCTGCCATTTCCCGCAGATCAACCTGTGGGGCTGAGATCTTTTCTGAATGTTTTTAGGGAACCGCCGACCCCGACAGGGCGCTGACGGTGGCCCGGCTGGTGTGAGTAGAACTTTCCAAACCGACGGAAAATTGTTAAGTCATGTTTGTAAACTGTCAGTCTATCAAAAGAGAGAGGGTTTTCCAGGATTTCTACCTCGGCCAGCACTGATGTGTATTTAGTTTTGCCGCGAGCTTCGTTTTTTCCTCATCACTAAACGGCAGATCCAACTGAGATTAGATTAGAGAAACGTCACAGAGCTGTAAGGATTTAAGGAGAAAAAAATCCTGTTAAAATTTGAGGAAGCAGAGAGGATCCGTCCTGAAGGGCGAGGCGAATGCTGGGGTCTGAAATCAGACCTGGAAGGTTCCCAGCTTATCTGGGAACTGATGACTGATCTGTTTGGTCTCTGATGGGAACCTTTCAGACATTTTACTCCTAGCCTTTGTTTGATGGTTAGGGGTTATTCCAAGCGTAAATCCAGGAGTTAATCCAGGCATTAGTCCAGCCATTATTCCAGGATTTAAACCATGCGTTATTCCAGGCATTATTCCAGGAGTTAATCCAGGATTTATTCCAGGCGTTAATCCATGATTTGATCCTGTCGTTAATTCATTATTTAATCCAAGTGTTATTCCAGACATTAATCCATGATTTAATCCATTCATTATTCCAGGAGTTAAACCTTTCAGACATCTTAGTCCCAGCCTTTGTTTGAAGGTTAGGTGCTATTCCAGGCATTATTCCAGGATTTAATCCATGCATTATTGCAGGCATTATTCTAGGCGTGATTCCAGCTCTTGTTTTAGGCATAAATACAGGAGTTAATCCAGACTTTATTCCAGTCATTATTCCAGGCTTTAATCCAGGTGTTTTTCCAGATGTTAATCCATGCCTTAATCCAGGCGTTATTCCAGGTGTTTTTCCAGATGTTAATCCATGATTTAATCCAGGCATTAATCCAGTCGTTATTCCAGGTGTTAATCCAGGTCTTAATCTAGGAACCTGGAAAAAGGTTCAGTGGCTAACTGACCAGTGATACTATCTTAAACGTGTTGTTCAGGGAGAAAGACGTGGCCGCCATTGATGTCAACATGGGCTGTCCCAAGGAGTACTCCACCAAGGTGCGTCCAAGTGAACATGTGTGAAAGCAGAGGCCTCTGATGGTTTGCAGACGCAGCCAGTGGACTGAGTATGATTATTATTATCCTGCAGCCACTACGGTTTTGACTTCTGACCTCTGTTTTCCTGCAGGGTGGAATGGGAGCTGCTCTTCTGTCAGATCCAGACAAGATTGAAGCTGTGAGCCCTTCCACTAATTCACTGGCAGTAAACCACTGTGAAATATGCCATCCGTTTTATTGAACATTTCTTTGTTTTCCTTCTTTGACCAAGATCTTAAAAAAGCTGGTGACAGGAGTCTCAGTACCAGTGACGTGTAAAATCCGGATCCTGCCGTCGGTAAGGTGTTCTTTCTGTTGATGTTAGTCATTCTAATTGGAGGAATAGACTTTCTATATCTCGCATCTTTTATTTCCAAGGTTTGCACCATTTTATGATGGTCCAGCCCTCAAAATACAAATGAAATACACTGATGTTTGGGTTGTTATGTGGCCATGAACTGTCCAAATGTCCTCATAATGCTGACCAGACAAAGGATCAATGTAGGAAACAGCGGTCTCTACTAGACGCATATTAAGATATATAGATCTGGATCTATAAATCTTAATGACCTGAGAGGACAGGTGTTATAAATTGGAGCTATAAAAATGAGTTGAATAGAATTGATTAAAATCAGAATCTCCAACACTCAAATGTTTTCTTTTGGTGTGAACAGGTAGAGGAGACGGTCAATCTGGTCCAGAGGATAGAAACCACCGGCGTCGCCGCCATCGCTGTCCATGGCAGGTAAGCTGCTTCTTCCTGTCTCCAAGAAAAACCTTCATGTCTCCAAATATCGGTGGAGCATTTGGTGAAGCTGAAGGTTCTTCTGTTTCCTTTTGCATTTTGTAACACATTTTAACCTCTAGCTAAAGAATCTGCATATAAAGGTCTTAGCTGTTTTTTAACTCTAAGCATATATTTGATTTTTGGAGTACAGAGTATACATTTGTTATGAAATATTAGTTGTTTTCTGCTGCTATTTTCAAAGTTTGAGGGAAGATGCTCAGCTTCACTGTGACGTGCGAGCCCCGCCCATCTATTGATTTTCTGGTCATTAGGCTGTATTTTAAGTAGGATGAAGGAAGTTGGAGAGCTTGCAGCTGAAAACTCATTTTCAGGAAAGGGAAAGCTGCTGTTATTGCTGATAGAAGAGTTGCCAGACGTGATGGAGCTCTGCCTCACATCACTGCTGCTGATGGAGTAGCATCAGCTCAGGAGAGTGGATTTTTGGATGAAATCCCACTTTTAAAAGGTGGTACATGAGCACCCCCTGGTGGTAGACAGGGACAAGCAAGGCATTTTTAATCGACCTAAAGTTTTGAAATTCTAGATTTGTGCTTAATCAAAAACTGTTTTCTGATGTGTGGCATTTTGATTTGGCAAGATGTTTTCTGTGTTTTGGAAAAATAAGGCGACAGAGGGGACAGATAGCTCTGGAGTTTCCATCTTGTCAGCAAACTGACAAACACAGATGGACTTCTGGATGGAGAGACTGAGAGGCAACCCTGTCCTGTCCAAACAGGCTTTCTGTTGCCCTTTAACAGTAACTTTTCCATGTGAGAAAGGCCTCTTATTGGGGTATGGATTGTTAAATTCCCACTGGGTCAGGCTATTAAATCACAGACAGTTGTGTTCGAATCAGGTCCAGCTCAGGCTCTAAGTCGTTTTATTCTACATGCAATGTGAGCTCAGTCTATTTAGTTGTAGGGGATACAGAATGAGGTTCCACTGGTTAAACAGAGGATTTGCGCTTTAGTTTTCTTTTTTTTAAAGAGACATGACCATTGTCTTCTGATCCATTTACACAACTAACATCAGACTAGATAGGGGGAACTCAAAGTTTCAATGATGGGGCCCATCCTGCAGCAGCAGGAGCGGTGGAAGATGCTCCATCTAAGCTGACTCTGCTACAGTGTGTGTGTGTGACCTGCAGGGCAGCATATGATCAATGGATGCTGGATTATTGGATTATTCTTCTGAAGCCTGGTTACCAGAATGCTTTACTGCTGTTGATGCAGATGATCCTCATGCCATCTTCCTGATTGTGTTTCTCAGGTTTAAGGAGGAGCGTCCCCGTCATCCTGTCCACTGCGACTACATCCAGGCTGTCGCACAGGCCGTTTCCATCCCCGTGATCGCAAAGTAAGTAGAGTTATCAGCCTCACATCTGCTTTATCATTCAGTAATCAGTTCAAAGGCAGCGGAACCAGTTTAAAGGCGTTTTGCCAGGTGACATCCAGCAACTTTGATCCTGAATCTGCAAATGTCAGGAATCTGGATCAGTTTAGAGTCATTAGCTGATGGTATCAGAGGAACTGCTCATTGCTTCATGCATCTCGGCTCCTCTCAGACGTGGCATCATTTAAATGGACATTAATGGGCTTCATTAAAAACGTTGAAGGAGAAATAATAAAATGGGTCTCTCAATGAGACAACCTGTATAAATAAAGGTGAAACGATAATAAAGAAATCACTCAGTTGATGCAGCTCCAGTTCAAAACATGTCCTCTAATCACCAAAAGACCTGGGGTTGTTGTCCCCTGCTGGGCTCCTCTTCGCCCTCAGTCCCTCTTCCGTCCTGGTTGGGGCTTACAGTTCAGATGTTTTTGCTGGACTGGCCTCTTCGTTGATCTCTTGAAAGACTCACTTCTGTGCGCTTGGATTGCATGCTAATGCTTACTCCTTTTATCATCATTTCGTAACTAACGATGCTCTGTCTCCTCTGCAGTGGGGGGTCACTGGACCTGGTGAAGGCCCACAGTGATATTGAAAAGTTCAGGAAGGAAACGGGAGCCTCCTCAGTCATGCTGGCTCGTGCTGCCATGTGGAACCCGTCGGTGTTCAGAAGCCAGGGACTCCTTCCTGTGGAGAAAGTCATGGAGGAATACATCAAATACGTACGTTTCCCAGCAGCCCCCTCATACTGAGCGTACAGGTTCGGTACAACTGCTGCAGCTTCACTTCATGCTTTTGAATTTTAGGAGCTCAGAATCTTCAGCAGGTTGGCTGCTCTAAGCCTTTTAACCAAATATTTAATTTCTTTGTTCAGGCGATCCGATATGACAACCACGCCTTCAATACTAAGTACTGTCTGTGCCAGATGTTGAGAGACAAGGTGGAGTCTCCTCTAGGGAAGCAGGTGCAGGCGGCACAGACCAACGCTGAGATCAGGTCCGTTTGTTCTCAGGAAACGATAAACCAGGTGTATTATGACGTATGAGCAGGAAGGGGTTCGGATTAACGATGTGGTTTCTCTGGGCTGCAGTACTGCATACGGACTGCAAAGATTTTACCAGGAGGTCCAGGAAGAGCTGCAGGCCAAGAGGGACGCCCTGCAGAGCGACAGCCAGCCGGACAGACCCATCATGGACGGGGATGTGACCACCATGGCTGTCAGGTTCGAACGGTAGGTGTGTCCCAATTATACCAAAACGAAACAAAGACAGGGCAGCTTTGAAACAGGAGGATATCAGTGCTGAGTTTTCCTTTCCATACAAAACTGATCATCCAGTTTATAGGCAGTAAAATATCAGATGTTTACATTAAGCAGTAGAGACATTACAGATGTTATAACAACAAAAGTGTTTCTAAAATCCTTTGCCATCATCTCTGACGTTTATCGGGCATCTCATAAAGGAATTCAAACTGACCTTGAATTAATTTCTACATCCACTGATGTGCAAACAGTTTATACGGGTCCAGTTCACCCTGGCACCTGTGCTCTCAGGTAGACCAACCGAACGGATCGCATTGACTCACCGACCCACAGCCTTCAGCTGTCCTGAACCAGCTGGTAACGTTATTTGGCAACATCCCACCACCAGGGGGTGCTTTGTTATAGATTCTGTATATCTGAAGATTCAACAGAAGCCCTGACCCCACAGGACTTTAGCTGGAGAGTTTAGTAGATAGGCTCTAAGCCTGATTTCTATCTGTTAGGGGAAAGAGGCAATCTAGATGAAAGCTCAGCCAGCAGCCATTTCTAGCAGAGGGATAAAAAAAGGCTTCTTCACTCTTTTCACCTGCTAATCAAAGATTTGTTGCTTTACTGAAAGACCTGAACCCTTCAGAGTGTAAACTGACTGGCAACATGCTGTTCAGGGTTCACAAAGTGAAGAACTCTCTGCATTATGATATAAATGACTGCATCCTGTGGTCTGTTCTTGTGGCTGCAGGAGAGAGTATCCACCACAGATCACACCAAAGATGTTCCTGCTGGAGTGGAGCCGCAGGGAGAAGCTGGAGCAGCCACAGTATCACACCGTGAGTTACACCTTCATGGTCGCCCTGTGGGGACATGGAGACACACAGATGTCAGGGGACGGTCATTCCGATATTTCTAGAAAGGAGGAGATGCACACAGAGTCTGGCTGAAGCAGGTCCTGCCGAGACCGGATCACATCAGGGGTGGATGATTCAATCTAGGTTCCTGTTTTAACTTTGATTTTAGCTCCGAGCAGCCAGGGTCAAAACGGCTCCAACCTTAGATTGTGATTCTCTGGGACTCTTTCTGAGGGATAGAAATCTGTTTCTAGATGTAAAACAGTCCATGGAAACAGGTGAAACATGGTCTGTTGTTCTGTAAACAGTTGGGATGGATGTTGACTTTTTAAGCCTTTATTTACACTGCTAAAAATGTAAATCTAAGTAAGATGTTTTTTCCTAAAATAGATTTTTTTTTTTTTTTATAGAGCAGGTATGTGAGACACTTTGCCAATGGAATAAGACAAGTTACATTTAAAATAAGACAAAACAATTGCAGTCATTTATTTCAAGTGCATAATATCTAATATTCTTATTTTAAGGGTAAAAATACTAATTCCACTGGCAGATCATCTTAGTTTCCTTCTCAAATTAAGGGTAAATAAACCTATTTTAAGAAATGTTTACTCATTTGCAGAAAGTTTTTGCAGTGTATTCTCAGATCGTGTCTCTGAAACCGGAGGGCGAGGAAACTACCGTCTGTGTAGATTAGTTTCAATTTTTTTAATTTTATTTTAGATATAGAACATCTTATTCAAAGGCTGTTATTTTTTTAAGTTAGTCATGAAAAATCACTAAATAGATGTTGAAGTTGTTAGGTTGGTTTCACTTCATGTTTGCCTTTAATGAATTCTATTCATTTTTATGAAACCATGACATTTATTAAGACGACCTTGTCAGAATGTGGAGTACAGATGGAAACTAAAAAGAAAAAGTCATTCTTTGAAAGCTCCTTAAAATAAATAAAACATTTCAACAATTAAGTTGGGTTATTTCTGTAGCCTTTTTTAGTGGTAAAATGATTCAAACAGCTGCAGATGAGAAAAAGAAAAGCGTGTTACAGAGGCAATAAAATAGAAATAGCTAAAATGTTTAAGAAAATGAAGCGAAAGTTGAACTGAAAACTGAACTAAAAATGTTGAGATGTCTCAGTCAAAAGCTTCAACTCTGGATTTTATCCGACTGAGGTTTTCAGGGCTTTACAGCTTTCTGGGAGTTCATACCAGATTAGTGGAGCATAAGAATTAAAAACTACCTCTCCATGTCTAGTTCTGGTTCTGCTTAGTAGATTTGATCCTTTAGACCTGAGATGTCTGGCTAAGCCGTTCACTCTTTTATAACAGAAGTATTTTAAAGTTTATTCTCTGAGATACTGGGGTTCCAGTGAAGGGCTTTAGAATTGGGCTGATGTTCTCCACTTTCTTGGTGCTAGTGAGGACGCTGGCAGCGGCATTGTGGATTAGCGGCAGCTTTCTGATCCACTTTTTAGTCCGACCTGTGAAGACACCATTTTAGTAATCAGTTTTACTACTGAGTCATTAATACTTTAATCCTGGAGATGTTCTTTAGGAGATAAAAATCTCACTTCAGTTTCTGGCTGGATTAACTGAAGCTGTATGCTAACTTTTAAACATTCTTGCTTTGCTCCTAAAGCTATTATATCAGTTTAGTTTTGATTCATCTAAAGAACATTTTGTTTCATCCAAGTGTTGATTTCCTCTCCATTTATCCAGAGCTTTGGTTCACAGTGGCGACATGGTAATGTACAGCTGGGTGTCATCTGCAAAGTTATGATGTTACTGTTGTTTTTGTTTATTAAGATTTGAGTTTAGGGGAAGCATGTAGATGAGCAATAAAGGGGGCCCTAAGATGGACCCTTGGGGAACGCCACATGGGATTTCTGTGGTCTCAGATGTAAGGTTGCCTCAAACCACAACAAACTCTGTCCTTCAATAGGATTTAAACGAGTCCAGATATGGACCAGGAAGGCCATTCCAATTTTCAAGGTTCTCTAATAAATGCGATGATCAACAGTGTTAAACGCTGCACTGATGTCCAATAATACTGGCGCTGTGGTTCTTCCACAGTCTGCATTCATATGGATGTCAATGAACACCTGTGGTGAGGAAGCCTGACCGGAAGACATGGGCTGTGTCAGAATGTCCACCCTAACCCCTAAATCCCTCACTCACTCTATAGAGCGGGGACTATATGGTAGACTTTATAGGGAACCTAGTACTCTTAAATTACAGTTTGAACAGATGATCACTACTGTTGTTCCCCGTTGTTTACGTAACTCCGCCTCCACTGCGCAGTGCCTGCGTATCTCCAGTTATCTCAGCTGTTGGGAAGCGACAGTGAGCCGCTGCGACAGCAAATCCCATAAAGCTTTGGGTGGAGAGCTCTCTGTGCAAAGCATTCTAGGATATATCTGCTTGTCTATTGACCATGGATGATCACTTCCTTTCAAGGTGCATTGTGGGGAATTTCGAGTTCACTACTTTTTCATCCACTAGACGTTCTGCCACTCGTCTAAAATGGCGTAACCCCTATAAAGTGCCCTAAAGTGTGATTAGGGTGGACATTCGGACACAGCCATGGTCATTGTCAGGAAGGTGTTTAGATGCTGAATCTCAGCCTTTTCAGTAGTCTTCCTAATGAAGGGGAGCTTTGAGATGTGCCTATAGTTCTACTGGAGCAGCTTGTCCAAGTTGCAGTTTGTTAATTGTTACTTTTAGGCTCTTGGGCAAAAAAAAGACACCGGAAAAAAGGACGTGTTTATTGTTCGAGTTACATCAGGTTTTATGGCAGACAGAGATTTAAGGAAGGCTGTGGGTAAAACATTGAGACTGCAGGAGGAAGAGCTTAGCTGGTGGAAGATTTTCTTTAAAGGTTTTTTTTTTTAGTTTATTTGGTCAGATTTGGGAAATTTTGTCTAGATTTGTTCCAAAAAAAAGAAAATTAAAAACAATCCTCTGGACTTTGTGGATTGTTGAGCTTCACCAGCATCTAGATTTGTTGTAGTTGGAGGCAACTTTGGTTCTGGGCTTGATATAAATGTACAGACTGATTATCTGATCGTTTTTCAGTGAATAAATTATCACATTTATTGTAGTTCCTTGTAATGTGGGGTTTAGATGTTGAAGGGTTGTTTGCCTGTTGGCTGTAGCAGAGAAATGCGCAATATCATTTGGTGATGTTGGTGAAGAAAGGTTTCAAAAACAGGTTTGAGTTTAACGAAAAGTATTTTCCTTGTTTTCAGGTTCAGCGCTCTCAGGATCGAGCTTTCCAGTCAACTGTGACTGTAGCTGACAGGAAATACAGATCATCCCTCTGGTTAGTAAACAGACATCCTTTATTTCTATATGCAGTGAGGACCAGATAATGACTTTGATTGATTTTCAGTCATTATTAACTGTTCCTGTGCTCTGACCATTACCATTCCATGCCTAACCTTTACCATTAACCCAACAATTACTAGTAAACTTTTCACCTGGCTATTACCAGCGAATAACTGACCTAAACTGAACCTGCTGCAACTGTTAGTAAAGCAGGAAGTGAGGAGCAGCCACATTTCCATAGAGCCCTGTCTGAACCTTCAATTCAGGCAGATGTTCAGTTTCTTCTGTCTCCCAACAGGGAGAAGTCCAAGAAGTTTGCAGAGCAAGCTTCGGCCATCGTCTGCCTGCGAGTGTTGGGGGTCCCAGAAGGTCGCATTGGTGAAGAGGATTCAGGCTTGGTCTGCAAGAGGAAGAGGGAGGGAAAGGCCAACAACAGCAGCGAGGAGGGGAGGAGCAAAAAGCTACATGTTGATGTCCTGCAGGAAACAGAAACCCAGGAGCCTGCAGTGGGGATGAACGGAGACAAGCAGAGCACAGAACCCCCAGAACCAGCAGAAGCTTTAAAAGAAGCTCCTGTCAGGTGAAACCAGGAGGAACTGGCATCAGGAGTGGACCGGGAGCTGATAGGAAACTCCATCCAAGAGCATCTCTGCTTCATCAATCAATCACTGAAGTCAGACAGGCTCAACTTTAAGGCTTTGCTTCAGTTTTCAGTTGTATTCCTGAAGAGCAGAGAAGTTTAGCTGATTCACTCAGCCGGAGCTGAGACATGCGCCGTTAATGCTGCTTTTTATTTTAACTAGAAATAAATCTTTTATTTTAGAGTTTAGGTTTCTGTTAAAACAGCAGGTCACTAAATAATCCTCTGTGCCTTACTGTCTCAACTGGTTTCCAGTTGGCCCCTTATGTCTCTGATCTGAACATCATCAGATTAACATTTTTTTTACTTTTTTTTTTTGTCCTCTATAATCATTTTAACTTCATCGGGCTGTCTGGAGGGATTTCAGTCATTCTTTAAACACTTTTCACTCATTTAATTACAGCATAAATAAATGAATGTTATCATTAGTGTGAATTTGGTTTAGGATTAAATACGTTTTCTGCTTTTTTGTCTCCGTTTTTCCTCCATTGACTCGCATATCCCCCCCAGCAATATCTTCACCCTGCATGATGCTGCAGCTCCACTGCTGATTAGCTTCAATTATTTTCTTTCACAGCTAATTGGCTGTGTTCCAATTAACAACAGTAACTGTTTTACCCTCCTTTACAAGCTTTTCCTAATTGAACCCCATCTACCATCAACAATACAGTGTACGTCATCACAGGGCGGTCTAATGATGCATTTAAGATTACTGGGAAATAGAAAGACATATCATTTAGGATCTGTAAGATAAAGGGCTGAAAATATTTCAAAAGATGCATCACTGCACCTAAAATAATTTGAGTATTTTTACTCCTGATGTGCTTAGGAGCGAGGGGGCAGGGTATATATATCTGGTTAAACTTGAGCATGCTTTCTTTCTTGCTGCAAGACAAACATGTTGGAAAAACGCTTGTAAAGAATTGATTGATGCCTTTTAATGTCGTTAATCTCACAGCAAATGTCTCATGGCCACAAGAGGAAGTATGCATGCAGCTGATTGTACTGATAAAGGCTTTTCGTCAGTATCACAAGTAAAAAAAAAAAAAAAACTATTCTAGAAAATGCACTGTTAAAGTTCAAAAAGAAAAAAATGTATGTAGACAAAAAAGGTATTTGCATCTCAAAGCAAAAATGTTAGAATTTACAACAAATATATTAATATATATGTTCAGTTTCAGGTGTGATATTAACGACCATAGTAACATATTCTTTATCAAATGGTTTATAAATAAATATATCTGAATTCATCCATATTTCTAGGAACAAAACATGTAGGCTAGTTCAAGTCCTATCGTTTTTGTAAAAACCCGGTTACAAAAACTATAGTTTACGAGGGAACTTGAAGGCAGCACAAGCTCAAGCTGGAGCGGAGTAATACAGCTCCGACTGCGCAGCCGAGGAGAAACACCGTGTAGAAGTTGGCTCTATAATGACACTTTAGTTCACCGCAGTGTTGTGCGGGGGTGCGATTACTTATGTGTGAGCTCAGTGATCACTTTCAAGCTATTATTGTCGTGTAATTGCATGAGTCGACACAGACTTCTGCTTTCGTTCGGATGGAAGTGAGTAAGACGGATCCGTTTTAAAGACAGTTCGAGTTATCGGCTCAATGCGGACGGATTTCACCGTCTAACAGTTCAATGTCCACCATCAACTGTCCTGAGGAGCTGGACTTCAGGCTGCTGTTCGAGGAGCACGGGAAGCACTCAACAGGTACGTGTCATTTTGTCTGGAGGTTAGTTAGCAAAAACTCTCCGAGCGGGAGAGAAGCTAGCGACAGTTACACCGGAAGTCAACCATTAAAGCCTTCAAAATAAAGGCGAAGAAAATTAAAAAGTTAAGAAAATGTTCTTATTTTACCGATTTCTTTTCGTTCTGGTGGTATATTACTTACTTCTGAATGGTTTATTTCAAACATTTTGTAAAGGAAATATTGTATTAAATCTTACACCCCTTCCCTCGCTTGGTTTCTTGCCCAACAGCTTAAAACAAACACACACGCGTTTGTATTTATATCCATATTAAGACTTTACCTTGAGTTTTACATTCAAACTAGGTGGAAAAGAAAAAAAAATGTTTGCGATTAAACTGAAAATACTGTGGGCAACTTTTCTAGAAAACTTCACTTCCAGTTGCCAAAACTGAATTTTTTCAAGCTTGACCATGACCTGGATGACTGAGAATTTTCACACATATGGGGAGAATAAAGTTGAGATACTTTGAGGATGGGATGAAATGCTAAAAGCTGCTGTGCTGTTTCCAAGCATGTCTGATTTTTATTTGAGAAAACCTCTATTCTAACAAGGTCTGCTTCTACATTATTAAATTTAAGAACAAAGAATGAGTGATATTTAGTCTTCTGCATGCTTTAGGTCTTATAATTGATTGATTGACTTTATTGATCTCACACTGGAGAAATGTACTCGTTACACCGCCTCAAATAGTCAAAAAGATGCCAAAGGAAGAATAGGTGCATGGGAGTATATACAGTATAATACAGTGCATATCCATCCATACGAAACGGGGTATTAAATAGTTATTGCACGTTATACATTGCACAAGTTATTACCGTGTTAGCGTCGCATTGTATAGTTTGGTGGCAGCAGGGATGAATGACCTGCAGTAGTTTGACAAACAGGGTGTAAAAGTCTAAAAAGTTTCTGCTTATTCACAGAGACATGGCTGCTGCAGATCTTTGGCCCAGGTTCATGTCCATCTTCATTGTTGGTAGATTTCTGGTTGTCATCTTAAAGGGATAGTTCGGTATTTTTGACATGAATCTGTATGGCATCCCGATCACCAGCGGCATGCAATCACACTGACTTACCCCTGGCAGCGTCCTGTGAGCAGAGTTATCGTCCAGTTTTGGTCAAGCCGAAAGTAGTCCTGCAGGTTTTTGGGAACAGCGAAATAAAACTTTTCTCTTCCCAAAACATTATGTGTCCAAAAGAGTGATATTTTCGCATCCCAAAAACATTGTAGTGGAAAAAGTCACACGTCGTTATCACTTGGTCCTATTTTCTCTCTGTTCGTATCAGTGCGCGCCGTCATTCAGACAGCGAGCCCAACAACAGCCATGTCTCCCTCCGCGGCGGAGACATGGCAGTTGCACGCCTATAATAAGAAGATGAGCCTTGATCGCGTTTCTCTGTTCCTCTTTTAAAATTAATTTGCTTTCGATATCTTCTAGAACAGACCTAATAGCAGAATCTACTCACCTCAACTCTCCAGCGGCAGCCATTGTTGTTGTCACCCAAGCACGCTTTGGTGACGTGGTTGATTACGTTACTGTTGATCATCTGTCCATCATCGTATAAAGCCCGCCCTGACAATTTGATTGGCCCGCCAGATATTGTGCTAGCATACTCGCGCTACTGTTGAGCAATGCCAGACCGAACTTCCCGACCTCAAACGTTGTGGGCGGGACTAAGTTCGGAATGGCACCCAGGCTAGCAGATATTACCATTGGGGTCAATTAGGTATTTTTTAATCAATGTAATTGAATCCAATTCCAAGTCCATGAGGAGTACTCAATATTCAAACTAGGCCACTTCTTTCTGCATGCTAATCAGCACCATGCTGCCAGAGCTAGTTCCTCTGCCATGTTAACAATGCTAGCTAGCCCCTGTGCTATGGAAACAGAGCCAGCTCCTGAACTGGGGTAACAGACCTACCCCCTGCACCATGGTAACAGAGGTAGCTCCTCCGCCATGCCAGCAGAGCTAGTCCTTGCACCATGCTAGCAATGCTAGCTCCTTTGTCATGGAAACAGCCAGCTTCTAAACATTGTAACAGACCTACCCCCTGCACCATGGTAACAGACGTAGCTCCTCCGCCATGCCAACAGAGCTAGTCCTTGCACCATGCTAGCAATGCTAGCTCCTTTGTCATGGAAACAGCCAGCTGCTAAACCATGGTAACAGACCTACCCCTTGCACCATGGTAACAGAGCTAGCACCTGCGCCATGGTAACAGATCTAGCCCCTGCGCCATGGTAACAGATCTAGCCCCTGCGCCATGGTAACAGAGCTAGGCCTTGTGCCAGTGCAACAAAGCTAGCCCCACTGCTAACAGATGTAGATTGTGTGCCATGGTTACAGAGCTAGTCCTGCAAGTAAAGAGGACAAATAAATAATAAAACATTTTAGAGAAGAGGTTGGTAGTTTAATTCTGTGAAGCTGCAGGGTGTTGTTTCTTTCCGTACTGAAATGTATTTTTACTTGATTAAAAAACTTTTCAATGAAGAAAAAAAAATAAGAGTAAAGTTTACTTTTTTTTATTGTCTTTTTTTGTGTGTATTTGTTTACCATCAACAATGCCACCTATTTTTATGAGGCAACAGTTCTTTATCTTTCCTTTAGATTGAACAATTCAGGTGGAGAAAGAGGAGAGTAGATAAAGATAGGCCAATGGGTAATGCTGCCTGGGCTGCTTGTTTTACAGGTTCTTTGTCGTCAGATGATGGTGTGACGCTCAGCCTGTCTGTGTGCTGGTTTTACTTCCTGGTTTTCTAACTGCTTTGTGGTACCCACATCTGGTAGAGACTGTTACCCCTCCCCAACAAATTTCCCCCGTTTTTCTTTCTTTTTTTGCACAGCCAGGGTTGTTGGTGAGGCAGTGAAGCCAGCGGAGCATATCACACTTGGTACTGCTTTCACAACTGGTTTTGCATAGTTGTGTGTTGGTGTGTGTGTGTGTGGGCTCTTGTTTATCCTTTGTACCACCAAAGTGAGGGCCATCTGCTGGAAGGTGAGGACATTTTCCTGGTGAATTGAATTTAGGTTCGACTCAGGGTTAGTCATGTACTGCTAACAGTAATGGTTACGGTTAGGTCAGGGTTGGGCCATACAAAGCATTGAAAATTAATGGAAGTCAATGCATGGTCCTCACAAAGTAATGTAATTCACAAAGATGTGAGTGTGGTTATGTACTTCTTCTGAGTAATGTTTAGCATCAGGCCATAAAACAGAATGAAAATGATTTGAAATCATTGAGAGTGAATGCAAGGTCCTCAGTAGGAAGGTAAAACCCTGAATGTGTGTGTGTGTGAGGGAAGAGCTTCAGAGGTATTCATAGATGCGGTTAGAGTTGTGTGCAGCTACATGAATGAATTAACTGAAGCTTTCATTTTTAGGACAGTGTGTGTTATTTTATCTCTTGGTGTCTGTTGCCGTTGGTTGTTTAATTTTTAACCCATCAAGACAAAATCTAAGAAAATAAGCTGTACTTTATACACTGGATTACTGTTCTGACGTAGTGGTGTGATGATGATGACGATGATGCCAATAACTGGTATAGTAGAAGTTGGAAAGAAGAAAGCATCTGTAAATACAATAAACCATGATCATTTTGAGGGGTCTTAGTTTTTAACATTACTCAGGCGAATGTCACACGATTACAAAGAAAAGCAGTATTTTATGATTTATCCTTCCAGTCAAGGTCACAAATTTTAGTGTTGTATAAAAA